GCCTAATAATGAGGATCAACCCCCCAAGCCCTAAGCTCAGCTGTCATCTGCATTTCTTCATTGCCCCAAAGCAATCAAGCGTACAAGCCTCAAGAACGAGCTTATGTAGGGTGTACCGGGCTTGTAGAGTTTAGGGAACTAGCCATTCTAGCCCGGCAGCTGCAGCGCTTGACGGTTATGGCCTGCAGCTCATGGACTGATGCACAAGATCTGGCTGGAGAGGGCGGTGTCTCGCGATGGGGTCGAGACATCCTCGTGCTTTGAGCTTTTAGCAATCACTGAGACGTAGGTAGTTGTCTAAACTAGGGTCCCTGCTAGGGTCCTTTTCTAAGAGTGCCTACTATTCGGGGGACCTACACAGCGCCCCTGATGTAGAAGACCACCCTTACAGCACCCTTATAGAAGCCCTTTTAGGTCCCTTTGAAGAGTCCTGACAGCTTGGATTTCGGAATTGTTTGATTCTTGTTTGGGGTGCTAATTAACATGGACTGGGGCTGGTCCAAGCCACTGGCATGTGGGAAGCGGAGCTGCGCGCCCCGACCCGAGGAAGAAGTGCATATAGCGCTGCTTGTATAACTAGGATACCCAGTAACCTAAAAATAAAAAGGCCTCTCTTTTTGGTATTGGGTAACTCTATAAAAGGGAATAAGGGTACTACTGAGCATCCTAGATAAGCTATAATTTAATCACAGCATGTGCTACGGTGATCTTATTTTGCAAGTTTTCCTGATTTGGGTGGTGGCTTGTGAAGTCTCGTAGTTTCGGGTCTGGGGTTTACTGGCCTATGGGCCTTGGGTTGACAGCATGTTTTCAGTCATGTCATTGGTAAACCCCAAACTTAAACCCGAAACCCTGGTGGTTTAGGGTTTAGTTTAGGGTTTCGACTCGCACACTCGCTCACGCAGGCACGGCTTCTTTTAGGGTTTAGGGTTCAGTTTTGTGAAAAGGGTTCAGTTTAGGGCTTCATTGGTGTTCGCGTCATGCCTTCTGGCCCGGAGGCTTCATCAAGTGAAGCCTAAACCCTCAACCCTGAGCCTCTCAGCACACCCAGGAACCCAACTTTTCCTCAACCCTGCGCCCTCGACCTTGCAGTAATGACCTCTGTATGGTTGCCTTTTGGTCCTCTTTGGCTGGGGCCCTGCCGACCGTTGCAGTCTAGGTGCAGGGCTTGTTGGGGGCTTGGCATAGCTTTTTACAGTGGTTTCGGTGACACTTAAACCCTAAATTCTAAACCCTTAGCCCAAAATACTAGTTCTATCTATGCCCCAAACCCTAAACGGATGCTTGAAGCTGTGGTAAGGGCTCGTGCCCAAGGTGTACTGTCCCAAACCCCTCACAGCAGGGCCATGCCCCTGAGCTTCCCGCAGGAGAGGTCCTGATGGCCGAAGGTTTAGGTTTCGGAAATTACGGGCTTTTTCCCTAGACCTAAGAGTAACCTAGGAATACAAAGGGTGCCCCTTTTAGTTTTAAAGGGGAAGGGAACCTAAACCCTAAAAAAAGGAGTTTATAAAAACCCTCTATGGTCCTACTTAGCAAGGCGAGGCCCGCAAGGCTTAGGACTTAGGAGTTTTATGGTTGAGGGTTTACCTTAAACTACTTATTATAATATGGAATTTATAGGGACCCGACAAAATAGTAGGTTCTTGTAGGTTAAGGTATGGTTCCGGGGCTGAGGGTTTCAGGGTCTGGGATTAGGGCAGCTTAGGCTGGAGAGGGAGTCGCCATGCAGCAGGCCCAAGTTGATGATGATACTGGATACCTATAGTCTCCATTGTGATTCCTTTTTTGGTTTAACCACTTATATATTAAGGATCCTATAGGGTAACCCCAAAAAGGAACTACAATGGAGACTATAGCTAGATCACGCTGCAAGAGGAAACTAAACCATGCAGGGTTGTCGCTGTACTGCCAGCGATGCAGCTAAAAGGAGACAATGTCAGCATGGCAGCTGAAGAAGACAGCAAAAAGTAGCTCGTACTGCTAGTACTCGTAATACTCCCGGTAGCAAAGTAGCCAGTAGCAACGAACGTGAGCTGCGAGGGCAGCAGTGGCATCGCAACTGTCTATTGAGTTATTGAGCTTGCGCTGAACGGACTACCGCGACAAGAGAGAACGCCATGGCGTCAGACTACTACTTAGACCCTCAAAAGTAAGTAAAATATTGGCCCAAAACCTATAAACGGCTATTATTCTACATACTTTTGGAGTCCAGGTAGACAAGACATGAACACTTCGGGGTTAGAGTTCAGCATGACGGCTGCTACTGTCTTCAGGACCATGGTTTCTGGCCGACTGTAATGCGGCACTTTGCCAAAAAAAACCAGCATGCCAAAACCAAGATTCTACCCTTAAGCAAATTTCCGAGAATATTGAACCCCTTAAACTCACTGGCCCAAAACCCAAGGAAATACAAGTTGAAACTTTCAGAATCGACTACCTTATAAGAACCCCAAAAGTTGAAAAGTTGAGTTTACAGCCAGCAAGTAAACCCAAAAGCGTTGGGCCCTCTGCAGGCAGAGCTTCCACATCCAGATGCGCATCCCACTGCAGCTTGAGGATGGGTACTCGTGCCGACCACACTTCCTCCGGGCGTTTCGGATTTTTAGGGTTTACGGTTTTCTTGTGTTTTTTTTTTAACGCTCCTTTTTCGGGTTTTTAGGGTTTACCTTAACCCTGAATATCCTACCGTTTTAGGGTTCCTTATTATGACTTCCTTATATCAGTCCTTAAAAATGTAGGTTTTTGGGGGTTAAGGTAGGGTTTTAGGGCTTCGGGTAATGGGAATAGGGTTGCGGTTTATGTCTGCCCAACCATCTGAGCTTAGGGTTTAGGGGTTTAGGGTTTCGACTCGCGCGCTCGCACAATGCAAACTTGGGGTTTAGGGGTTTACAGTAGTACCAGAGTTCTGGAGCTAGGTTGGCTTCATATTGTGCGGAAAGCCCTGAGGATCTACGACAAGACTTTGACCGACATGGAATGTCAGTGTCCAGCGAAACAGCTATTGGTGAAGAGCGTAGAACTGGAGAGAATTGTCAATTACGCTTCAATGTGGAGTCCAAGTGCTTATGGCGCATACATCTCAGGAGTCAATAAGGCAGGCACCCTGACCTGGAGGAAGTATCATACATAACTCCTGTAGTTTATGAATAGCCCACGAATGATGCAGAACCGTTGAACATGCCACACAACATCAGCAAAAGCCGTAACCGCCAACACCCTGCAGTTTCTGGTTTCAGGGAATCAAGACAAGTTACATGTCGGTGTGTGATTTCTAGTTACTTAATTGGCAGGGTTGACACGACCCGCGACACACTCGTGTGCGAGACACAATGGAGGCCACCCGCGCTCGCAAGAATGCCCCGATACTATGATGCCCACCTAGAAGTTTTGGACCCCTTGCAAAGCCCAGAACCCCAAACCCTGCCGACACCCCACAAAGCCTTCAAACACTCCTCGAAAAACTTCAACCAGATGAAACCCTACAGAGACTCTCAGGCCCTTTTTTGCTACTGGACTCGTCTAGCTAGTCTACGACCTGCAATCGGTCTTGAAAGCCCTACAAACCCTAAACCCTCATACCAAAACCTTCTCCAAAACCCTACCGGAACCCTAGGCTTTTGTGGGCTCTTATTATACACCCAAATATGGAATGTATAGGGACCCGACAAAAAATATAGGTGATGGTAGGTCCAGGTACACTGAAAACCCTAAGCCGTACAGCAAAAGGCACCTCGATGATCCGAAAGCGTGGCTCGTTCTGAATCAGCGGAGCCAAGCTCCTTAATTGAGCTTCTTTCTTACCTTTGGTTAGTAGGGAACGGAAAAATGGTAGTAATATTAACAGTAGTTTAGGGTTTAGGGTTAAACCATAGCCTCAAAATATGGGAGTTTCCGAACATTAGGGATACCTTATTTTGGGGTCCTTATAGTAAGGATCCTACTATTTAGGGTAGTATTATCTTGGGGTCCTTTTATTAAGGATCCTACTATTTAGGGTAGTATTATCTTGGGGTCCTTCTATTAAGGATCCTACTATTTAGGGTAGTATTATCTTGGGGTCCTTCTATTAAGGATCCTACTATTTAGGGTAGTATATAAGGGTCCCCCCGTATTTTCGGAAACTCTCAATTGAGGTGCTTTGTCCCCAAGGGTCCATGTGCCCAAACAGGGATCCTCTAAGGGTTGCCAAAAGGGTTCTAGAAGGGCTCTATGGGGTTTAGGGTTTAATTTTGGGTCCATGTAACCAAATAATTAGGCCTTACCGTAGTCCCGATTTAGGTACTTTAGGGCCAAAGTATCTGCTATATGGGCACATGGACCCTTAGGGTTTGTGTTGCCTGCCAAAGGGTCTTAGACAAGAGGGTACTGCCATAGGCATTCAGGCAGGCCTCTACATTGTTGAGCTTCCGCAATGGCTTTCTGTTGCTTAGCCGGAGAGGTGCTGTCTTTTCTCAGCTGATCAGCTGAAGGGTTGGAACCTCCCCTTCGTCCTGGTCCTGCATGGCCTGTGAGATGAGCTGTCATACCGATCATGGTGGCATTTCTTCATCCTAGTAGGTGTTGCCAAGGGGTCTCTCCATGGCAGAGCATGCGAGCAGCTATGGGGTTTTTGACATACGCGGCAGGAGAGGTGATGCTGCATGAGCACTGTACAATCCTCATTTCGCAAGTAGGGCAGCAGGACCTCTGTGCATGTCCATGGAGCCCCAATGCTGGCCGACAGAGCTGGTGTGCCACTCCGGCCACGCAAATCTGAGATTTCATGCTGTCACTTTGGGTAGTTGCCGCAATTCTTGTCCCTTTGTGGATCCCCAAAAGAGTTATTTCAACAAGGACCCTACAAGGCACTCGTGATGCGAGCACCTTCCTGATGGCTTCTTCTGACATGGTTGGCTCAGTCTGACCGCATGTGGAACATATGGGAGCACGTAATTAACAGCCGCTTCCGTCACAATAGCAGAAGAAGCACTTTCCAACCGCCAACACCCAGGGCCACAGCCCTAGACGGCCTTGGCATGCTGCTTCATTCGAGATCTGAAGACAGAAACAAGAGCAAACAGCAAAAGATATGTGCCCAGCATGGTAGCTGCAAAGGAGACCGGGGTGAACAACACTCCAACTTGCGCGCCGACACCTCGACCCAAAGTGAGCGCCAGCATGAGCCACGATGCGGCCCGATCCTTCATGAGAGGTGCCACGATCTTCGGCGTAAGCGCATAGGCATAGTTCTTGACCACACTGCTCGCAGTCAGGATGAGACACAAACCAACGAATGTAAGAGCGATCGTTGCTGCGGACCAGCTCGGCATGTACTGGAAGGCAAGTATGGAGAAAATGGCAGTTGATAATGAGCTCAGCTGCAGGCCCTTCCTGTCTTCCACGAGTTTCACAAGCCCGCCGCTTCCCAGAGAGAAGACGCACACGACTGCCATCAGCCCTGCGAGACCCCAGGAGCTAAGGGCCAAGTTCCAGTGCCAGGTGTGCTGGGAAAGTTGCGTGAAATAGACGATGCATCCGATGTTTGTCATAGTGCTCGCAAACCCTGCCAACAGGCATAACAGAAACCCGGTCGTCCATAATGACTCTCGCTTCTCGACTGGGGATTCTGCAGGACCAGGACTGGTGTCCTGCGAGGCCGATTCCTCCGGGTTCTCGAAAAAGAAGACCACCTTCAACAGGTAGGAGAAGTACACAACGGCCATGAACCAACCAGGGGCAGTATCTGAGTCCAACACCAAGTTATGAATCCGCAGCTCATGCAGGAAGGTTTCCAGCAAGCCACAAATGGCTGGAGCCGCCGCAAGCCCCAAAGTAGCCACCGCAGAGTACACAAACATCACCGGCGTCCGTTTCTTGACGCCAACAGCGTCGGCAATGTAGATTGGCGGACCTAGTTGAAACTGACAGATGCCGATAAGGGCCCGTGCAACAAGGACAGCCTGCTTGGAGTGCATGAGCCCCGCAAGAGCATAGATGATGTTGCCCACGACCATGCCAGCAGCCATGAGAATACTCACGGTCTTCATCGAAGCTGATTTCAACATCCAGCGATTGAGAGGGACCCCGACCAAGCCCTGGAGGAGCGGTGTCAAAGCCATAACCAATCCGCTGAACATCGCCCCTGCCCCAAGTCTTTTGGAATACTCGTCGGCCGTTGTGACCACAATGTCCAAGGCCAAAGTTGCCAGGAATCCGGAGTACATCACGAGGCAAAGGGAGGGCAACGGAGCCATCCGATCCTCCAGCAAGTGGCGGCCAGGTGGTACCCCGGAACCTTCACCAAGAGCTCCGGAGCGTGGGTCGAACGGGTCGTCGAGCCCGAACGTGCGGGAGCGGCTCAGGCCGATGCTGTTGGGACGGGGAGACATTGGGGTGGATCCCCTCAGACCGGGCAAAGTCTCTGTACACGTGACAGACATGGCCCAAAGAAGGGGAAGGCTCTAATCTATGCTCTAGCTTTGCCCGAGAAGCTGCTGAAAGAAGACAGCCGACCAAGCAACTGAAAGCTCCAGGCTGCAAACCTGAACGAATTGTCTCAGCACGTTGCGAACTCATAAGACTTCAACTAGATATCTCAGTCTCTTTCCTCTCTCTGATTTGAGTGACGGATCGATGATTTTGGGCTGATAGTGCAGGCATGCAAGAAGGCGTTCAAGAAACACAGCTCACTAGCAGCAGCACGCGAGTTGCCACGCATCAGGTCTTCCTCATCAAATCGCAATGAATGGTGAATGACAGTAGTTCAAACTTGCTGCATTCCGCAGCACGACTAATCTCCAAACTGCAAACACCACACATCAGCCAGGAATGGTGGGAAAACCCAGAACAAGTCAACGGGTAGTCTTCCTAACTTAAGACAGTAAGCAGCAAGCTATGGACTAACATCAAACCAGATTGCCTGCAGGCCGGGTACGGTTGAGCTGCCACACCTACCATATGTAGTCTACACGGTCAAGTCTTCTGTGCTCCACGGTGTGATCAAAGAACCCCTGACAAATATTTTCAGCCTGGTGTCAGCTTTAATTCCTGAACCGCGCGGTGGCTGTCCTGCGCGCTGACCGCGGTATGGTAGCCTCCACAACTTCACAGGAACGTTCGAAACTCCCTCTGCCGGTCAATTTGTTCGAGGCTTGGAAATTCGAAGCGTGCCGGTTTCTAAGTGGGCTTCTGTCTCTCAAAGTACGCATATTTGGAAATCAACTCTGTATGATATGATACACCTCACACGCGGAAAGCCCCTAGATTCCCGAGATGCATGCCTAGATGGATGCTCAGGTCAAGCCAACTAAAGCATGTCGTATCCTGACAACCGCCCGGACCTTCTAGGCGAGCATGGCCACAAACATGCATAGCAAATCTATAACACATGTCCGGCTCCTAAACCCTATGTGGACCCTAAACCCAACCTGACTTTCTGAAAGGGCGACCAAGCAAGAGATCTGGCCATTATAGCCTCGTGCGATTCATCGTCCCAAAGCACCCTATAGGAACCCACCAAGTAGCAAATGCGGCTTCCATGGGAGGAACTACGCTTATGGATTGTGTACGGCATGCACCTGAAAGGTACTTAGGATCCTCGAGACGGTTTAGGGTTTAGGGAGCCTGAATCCCTAATAGGGAACCCCAAACCCTAAAGATCTTCGAGATACATGAGCCCCAAAGTACCTACATAGGGACTACATTAAGGCCTCTGTATATACTATATGAGGACATGGACCCTTAGGGGTCAAGATCTTCCAGGCGTTTCCACCCGAAAATTGCAGATCAAGGTGCAGGTTACGTCCAGATCAGATCCCTTCCTGGCGTTTCGCAGGAGCTTCCGAAGGGATCCAGTATCCCTTAACTAAGGAATATACCTTAGGGTTCCTTAGGGTTCCTTAAACGGATCTATAAGGGGTTCTAGAAGGGAATTAAGATTAAGGAACATACCTTAAGTTATAGTAGGATATGATTTACGGTCTACCTATAGTCTCCCTTGTAGTTCCTTGTTTTGGTTTAACCATATATATATATATAAAGGATCCTATAAGGTAACCCCAAAAAGGAACTACAATGGAGACTATCGGTATTCCTTAATTAAGGTATAAATGGAGTCTCTGGGTTCGGAGGGGTCCAGGGTTCCGTTGGCAACTGGCCGGGACCACAAAAGGGTCCCTGGGTTCAGGGCTTGAAGGCTTAGGGATTAGGGGTTAGGGTTTAGGGGTTTAGGGTTTTAGGGGTTTAGAGGTTTGGGATTAGGAGTTAAGGCTTAGGGGTTGGGGCTTTAGGGGTTTAGGGTTTTAGGGGTTTAAGGTTTTTGGCAGCACAATCACTGGGTTTAGGGCTTAGGGATTAGAAGGCTTAGAGGTTAGGGTTAAGGCTTCGACGCTCCCATCACGGAACGTCTCTTCGATTCCGGCACTTCGATCGAGTGCTGCATTTCGTACATGTCTGTAGCTGGGGTGTGTCACTGTCTTAGCCGCTGGCATGGTTAGTAGAGGGGTTTAGGGGTTTAGTGTTTACGGGGGTTTAGGGATTTAGGGTTTAGGCTTTAACGTCGTCAGCTGTTGGCCAAACAGCTGAAGAAAAGCGTCGATGACTGCCCATGCGTTCATCTGGGGGTTCCACGATTGCTCGGGAATGGCACCGGGCAAGGCCACGCGAATAGGCCGGCACACTCACGTCGTTGCCCCCTTTGGTCGAACACCATTCCCTAAGACTCCATGTACCCTTATAGTAGGTACTTAGGCCTTAAAGAGGTTCCGATATGGGTACTTTAAGGCCTAAGTACCTACTATATGGGTACATGGAGCCTTTGGGATTTAGACTGCCCGAAGGACAAGCTAAATGAAGTGGTTCAATCTTGTTGGACACCAGCAGCGATCTGGGAGTTTCCAAAAATAGGGGATCCTGGTATAATACCTGAAATAGTAGGATCCTCATAATAAGGACCCTCAAAAAAGGTACCACCATAATTTTCGGAAACTCCCATTTTCAAACCCTGAATTCCCTGCAGAAGTGGATAAAACGTTTGATGATATGAACCCTGCATGACCCCTAGTAAGGAATATACTATAATTCCCATAGTTTAGGGTCCTTAAGGTAATGCAGGATTGATATCATCAACCGAAAGCAAGGATCCGGCGCGAATCGGATCAAATGGTCGAAGCAAGCGGTCAAAGCCCTTGGTGCTACCTATAGTCTCCATTGTAGTTCTTTTTTGGGGTTACATTATAGGATCCATAACATATAACTGGTTAAACCAAAAAAGGAACTACAACGGAGACTACAGGTACCCCAACGACGATGGGCCGCGCTCAAGGCTTAGGGATTGCAGTTTGAAGCCGATGCTAAAGAAGCAACCTCGAAGCTCGGTGAAGTCTCCATAACATCCTTCTGAAACTTTGGTGGGCTCGCGGCCATAATCCGAAGGCCTGAATGTGGGTTAGAGGCATTGCAGGCGAAACAAAACGCTGAGACAACAGCGTCCGCTACATGCCGGCAGCCTAAGCCGAAAAAACATGAGCCAAGGCGCACATTGCAAGTCTCACCCTCGTCGTACATACAACAACGGCTACGCCTGCACTATTAAGACCCTCAACACTCTGAACCCTAAAGCATCACGAGACATGCATCCCGGAAAATTGACGAACTGAATGCCATAAAGAAAGCTTTCGTGCGAGAGGTGCAGCACCTTGCAGATCCTTAAAATGTAACCGAAAAGGCAAAAGGGCGCTAAACCACCGCTAAGCCCTGGAACGCTGCGTTGGATTACCCCTACATCCCCAAACTCCCCTATGCTAAGCCTTTAAACTTTCGACCCAAAGATCCCAGGGCCCCATAAGCTAGAAACCTTAAACTATACCTAAAACCTACAGCCCCACATGCTTCACAGCCTTAACCCTAAACCCTTAAAACAAGAGCGCATGCCCGTAAGATGCCAGAAGCCCTGTAGAACCTTAAAACTCAGACTGCCAATCCTTTTGTTAGTGCTTTGGCGAAAAGGGATTTAGACTACCTGGACCCCAAAAGGATGCAGAATAATGGTATTTTCCAGGTGTTGGGCCATTATTTTACCTGCTTTTGAGGGCCAAGGTAGCTACTGGTATCATCCCCGAAACTCTAAATTTACCCTAAACCCTAAACCCTACTCTAAATCCGACAGCCTGCAGCGGTTTAGGGTTTGGGGTTAGGCCAGGAACCCTTACTGGAAAACCTTCAAGTAGGAGTTTCCGAAAACAGGGACCAAACATATAGCACCCTAAATAGTAGGATCCTTGTTATAAGGACCGTACCCCTAATTTTCGGAAAACCAAATATACTTGGATCTTTACCAACCCCCTCACTACAAGCTTCAACACTATTCAAACTATTGAAACAGCCCTCAACCTGAAAAACTCAAAACCCGACAAAAGCCTTCAGCGTAATTCTGAAAACAGTTTTTAACCGAAAACCCTACACCCTAAAACCCGAAAGCCTTTGAAAGAACCCTAAACCACATTTAGCCCACACGAAAACAAGGCGAAGTGTCGAGCCAAAACCGTTCTCTGCCGAGCCGAAGGGTGCCACCTTCGCAGGACCGCGTCCAAGAATTCTACATATGTTTGAACAAGGATCTATCTAGGGCATTACTCTAAGCTTGAATGATTAAGGGATTTAGGGTTTAGGATACGGCTTTCTACGGTTTGACAGCCTACGGCCGAAAAAGCCAATACCGTTTTGGTGAACTATATGTAGAGATCACAATAAGGACCACGCACAACGACTACAAGAAGGAACTTATCTGGGGTACTATAGAGCCTTGTAGGGGTTTTACGGCTTTGGGGTTGAGGGTGTTGCGTGTCAGGCTTCTGACTCTCACCCACAACTTGAACACGCTGGGCGAGTCGTCCGAGTATCGAGGAACAAGTGATATTGGACAAGACACAGCTCAGCTTACGATTGTAAGGTTCGGCAGTCATATCTATCATGATTGAATTCCGACCATGAGCTCAGTCGAAAGCATGGTCTGCAATAGCGGTAGCGTCTTTCTGCTGGAGGCAGGAATCAGTGAATAGTGAAGTCTAGTGGTCACAGCACAACAATTGAACCTTCACTTGATGGCACACGCACAAAACATAAAAATCGTGTATTAGCAGAGTCGGGTGCCAAGCACATTCATTCAGCAGACCAAGACATCCTGATGTCTCGATTAACCGTGCTGCCCAGAATTCAATAGTTCACCCACATGCCAGTTACGGGGCTGGCAGCACATCTCGGGCTGCGACCATCACTTGCAGACCCAAAACCCTGATTCGCTAACCACACGAGTCTCACAGTTCCAGGGGTCAAACCCGACGCCGCAGAAACTCGCAAACTCACAGGGCAGCTAACGAGTGTCTGAGACTCTGGTCGTGACGGGTTTCATGTTCAGGGTCTGAACAAGAAGTCTGGCCAAAGC